AAACAGGCACGTTGGGGATCAGGGAGAAGCCCGGGGACCGCCGAAGCGGAAACAAAAGAGAAAACATGCCCTTGAGGTTTGGGGTTGTCCCTGTTCTTGATGAGCATGGGTTAAGGGTCGCTCCTGAGGACAGTCCTAAGGCAGGATTCCTGAAAAAGCGTCTGAAAACGGCATACAAAGTTGAAAAAGCGTCTGAAAAGAGAGAGAGAGAGAGAGAGAGAGAGAGGGAGAAACGGAGAGAGAGAGAGAGAGAGAGGGGTGGGGGGAGCGCCTTCACTGCATTTGGAGTGCTTGGCCCTCGTGCCTTGCCGGAGTCGCGGGCTGCTCTTGCTCGCCCCTCGGCTGGGGAGGGGGGCGCCCGGGAGGACCCCCCGGGAGGAGGGAGCCCCGCGGCCGCACGGCTCCCGGCCACCTGCTGCAGCTCCGCGCGCCGCCCCGGGCCCCGCGCGCCCCCGCGCTCCTCCGGGCCCTGCCGCGGCCGCCCCCCGCGCCTGGCGGCGCCAGGCACACCTGAGCAGCACGGAGAACGAGGACGGGGAGCTCCTCCGGGAGGCGCCGCGCTGCGTGCCCTGCTGGGGGCGGGGCCCGCCGCGCGGGGCGATCGCGAGGCGCCCGCGGGCTCTGAGGCGCCCGAGGCCTCGAGGCGCCCGAGGCCTCGAGGCCCGTGCGCGAGGGCGCGCCGCCGCCGGCACGACGGGGGTCGGCGGGGCCCGCCGCGCGCAGGGGCGGGCGGAGGGGGTGCTCGCGCCCTGCCCCCCGGGCGCCTCGCGCCCCAGAGGTGCTCGGCCCTCGGGGCCTCCTCGGGGTCCGCGGCACCCCCGCGCCGCGCCTTCCGAGAGGCGGCCTCCTCCCAGGAAGCCTCCCCCCCCCTGCCCCGACCCCCCTCAGGGGCAACGCCAGGGGGGCGGGGTAGGCTCAGGGGGGGTTGCGTCGACCCCCGGAGTCGCCAGTTCATCTTCGATGGGGACCCGACAGCCCACCCGGCCCAGGCACGTGCGGTTTCGCTTTTTTTGGGGGAGCGTGTCGCCGATTCCAGGTCGATGTCTCCCCCCTAGCCAGTCCCCCCCCCTTCGTTGGCCCTCACACATCCTGCGCTCGTGGGGCTGCTGATGGAAGCTGTGTGCCCCCCACCCCCCCGAGCGCACAGCTCGTGCGCTGGGTGCGCCGTGGGCGGGATCGGTCGGCCACGGCTGTCTGTGCCCCGTGTATCTGCAGCTCGGAGCCGCCGTGTCCCACGCCGCGGTCTCCGTGGGCTGAGGTCAAGGCGGGGTCCACGCTCGGTGTCTTCTTGTCTCCCACGTCCGGACAGTTCCCAATCGTGGGCGGAAGCCGCCTGCATCCACGGCCTCGCGAGCCGGGCCCGTGGGAACGCGACCGTGCGCCCGCGTATCAAAGGGTACCCACGGGATCGCGCCCTGGACTCCGCACTGCAAGGGCGCGGATTTGGATGTGTTCGCCTCTCGTGTGGCCCAGCGCACCGCGTGCGAGTTTTCTGATCCCGTGGCCGCCGCCCCGCCGGCGTGAAGAGCGATGGCCCCTCGCCCAGAGTTCGGTGCAGGCTCGTTCGAAGATTGGACTCGTGTCCCAGCGTCCCTCACTCCGCGCCCTTCTGCCCCTGAGCCCATGACGTACCTGCCATTATCCTGGCGGCATCGCTACACCTGCCGGCGGGCCTGTTGCGCGACAGTCCTGACCCGTCGAGTACATCGGCTTTACAGCGTAGGCTGGTATGGCCAAATGTTGGCAAATGGTCTTGATGCGCAGGGTGAAAGGCCAGATGATAGCATTCACCTGCTCGAGGATGCCCTCGCTCTTGTTGTGTTGTCATGACTGGTTTTGTCGTGTGTTTTGATGTATTTGGAATGTTACGCATTTCAATCAACAGTGCCGCTCTGGCCCATCGTTTGTCATGATGCTCTCCTTTTCCATTCTCGTCCTCTCTCGCCTTCACCCCCTCCTTGTTTGCACTGGCGCGCCTGCGTTCATCGTTATTGCATACTATGAGCGCAGCCCTCATTGATGACGACTGTTGAAGCATACTTTCACTCACCACTCTGGATAAACAGCGAACCGACGTTCATACGTATATTCACCCTCTGCCCCCGATCTCATGTGTTGTAATTTGTTAGGCGCAGCGGGAGGCATTGGCAGAACAACATGCAGGCTTGTCTTGGCGTCCACGTTGTGTAATCCTCTTCCCCTTAACCGGGGTGCCAAGTTGGGAAGGCCAGGACGAAGTGCCCGCAGGTGCTGGTACGAGACCTTGAGCATTTCTGTGAGCACACTGGTGTGTCGGCTGAGCTGCACATCTTGGAGGCCCGCCTCCTCTGCCACGACGATTCATACCCGAGCCTCGCATTTGTGAGAGTGATAGACGTGGATGAGTGTTGCGTATGATGGCGGCGATTGACTGGCGGTGATGGTGCGTGCGACAGCGGTCGCCACGACTCGCGGGTCCTGGCTGCGAGACGCAGCTGGCTGCGCCGCCGTTGGGCCCAGG